TGATTTTCGAATCGATTGCCAAAGTAGAATACTTTAAGAGTAGCATCTATGGATTGTTTCATGTTCATCTCAATTTGCTTCACACAATCGTTATTTTCATCATCTTAGTAGTTTGTCCACTTGCACCATTGTCGTAGCAACATGGCCTGAGCGATTTTCCAATCGATTGCTAACGTGGACTATTTTTCAGAGAGTAGCATCCATTTATTTCAATGCTCATCCTGTTATTTTGGTTCATCTAATCCAACGTTTGAGTAGGAAATTATAAGAGCTGTAATCGCTTATTTAAATCATCTGATGTTAATTTATCTACTTTCATAGAACATTGCTTATGCGATTTTCAACGATAATCGAATATGAAAGTTGAATGCTTTGAGACTACGATACATATCATCTCATTCCAAGCGATTGCCTGAACGAAAGCTAAGGTAGAATGCTTCAAGACTAGCGTGTATTTATTTGACCCTTTCTCATCATTTGATCTTAGTTCGTCTACCTTTGTCCTAACCGCAGAATACTGTCTAGGTGATTTTGGAATCGAATGCTAGAGTAGCATAGTTTACGGGTAGAGTCGATCGCTATTTTAATGGTCTCATTCCAAGCGATTGCCTAAACGAAAACTAGCGTAGAATGCTTCAAGACTAGCGTGTATTTATTTAACCCTTTCTCATCATTTGATCTTAGTTCGTCTACCTTTGTCCTAACCGCAGAATACTGTCTAGGTGATTTTGGAATCGAATGCTAGAGTAGGATAGTTTACGGGTAGAGTCGATCGCTATTTTAATGGTCACATTGCAGGCGATTGCCTATACGAAAACTAGAATAGAATACTTCAAGATCAGCGTCCATTTCTTTTTACTGTTCATCTCTTAGTTTGTCTACTTTTGCCACTGTCATCCAACCTTGCCCTTACGATTGGGAACACGGACATTTTATTTTTTGAAAGTTGTAAATTGTTTTTGACTGCAATAAATCAGGAAATCACATCATCATTATAATATAGATTTAAAAGAGATACTGGCTGATGGAATTGTGCTCCAATCTAACCGATATTGACGATAAAAAAAAAAAATGGAGGGCAAACTCAATTCTACGTATCCAACCGAGTTGCAATAGCATGCATTGAAGGCAATCATGGGACGATTAGCAGATCCATCATTCTCCTTGGAAATTTCATTTTTTTTTCCTATTTTGAAGATTGATTATTACGATAGAGACCGCTATCGGTTAATTCATATAAAATAGGGTATAAAATACAGGAAAATGTGACGAAAGAGAAAGAAAATTGAATGGAAATCGCCAAGTTTGTATGGGTATTGTATAGGCAATTTACTGTAGATCAACATTCAATGCAAGTGCATCAATAAGAAGGAGGGGAAAGCAATAAGAATAGCCATCTCTTGTAAAAAACATGATCAAAAAATAACATTCAAGACAATGACATGATGATCAATACATTGGGAATGGGATAATGATGGTAGTCGACTATCCAGTTGAAAAATGAACTTTTCGTTGAGAATTGTAAAGGAATGAGAGGACAAGGCGTAAAAAACCAAGATGGCCCTTGACGGAGAGAATGGAATAGGTAGAGTGGATGATGATGGTTGATTGCAGCAGTCTTGCGAGAATAGTGATGCGGATAACATGGAATAGATCTGTACACAAGAAGTACAACTAAAAGTATGGAATGAATCTCAGCTGGCGTGGATGTTGTATGCAATAAGGGCAATGCGATTTTAATGTACAACAGTTCAATCTCTGCAGGCGTAAGCAATAGCTATGGAATTCTCCTCTACGGTAGTACTCTACCATTTCCTACCCATTCCTTTCACTACGATAACGACTGTCATGGAGACTTGAAATTCTTGCCGCTACTCAGTAGTAGAAGTGTTTAGGATTGATATCCAATTGATCTCAAGGCAATCTCATTCTTAGGCGTTTGAAACTTTCAAAATTACATTCACTCCCGAGAATAGTATAAGAATAAATAACAAGTTATTTCCCCAGGTAGTCCACCATGGTTAAGCTGTCCAGTTTAAATTTGAAATTGCCTTAGCCTGTGTTGAGAATCCCTTACAAATGAAGTTGAAATCTAGCTGTAATTTAATCGATGGCGTCATGACTAGCTTCAAGTTAGGTGGTAGATTTTCATCTTTTGGATGATTAACTAGGTGCAGCAGCTCATTTTAACTTTAGACATGGACTTTCAACGTTTCGATAGAAATCAATCAAGTTGTTCAATATGCCAATGAAGAAAGAAAAAAATCAATGCATCATTTGTATCATCGTTTTTGCTATCAGTCATGTTCTAAGCAGGCTATCGTTCATGAAGGATTGTAAAGTTGTACAAGATGAATTTTAGTCCTGCTTAGAATGTCCAAATGATGATGAGAAATCGACCCTATCCAATGATAGCAACAATCCAAAAGCAATAGGATATAGCTGGAGACATATTCCAATGTCCATCAATCGGATCTGCGATGATAGCAATGGAGGTTCATGTTGCCCCCGATAGTCAGACTGGATCATTATTGCGGCAGATAAAATGGCAACAGTTTCAAATGGATAACAATATCATGGAGGAATCAACCCATTTTCAATATCATGTAGAGGTCAAGAAAAATGGATGATTTCCATGGAGTGGCCATTGGGGAAAGCTTCCACTTTTGGTGCTACTTTGTCATCCCTATTTTAGCGTAGTACAGTCGTTGGAAATGCTTGTTATTTTTATTATTACGTACCATCACTGCTAACGATGATTTATCGCAAATTATGGACCAATTGGTTGAAGACGATATTGGATTATCACAACAAATACTGTCATAATCTCTAGGGACTGCAATGAATAGGATGGAAGTTTCCCATGGTTGATCATTTACTTTTCTAGCGATCAAGCGCCATGATATCCATTACAACGTCTTGAATGTCATTGACGAGAAAGAATGGAAATGATCAACAGTGGGAAAAATAAAGTTCCTCCTCAAGCTAGATTGGTTGTATTGCTTGTCCAAGAGTGTAATTGCCATTTTTACTCCATCCATGATGATGGCATGAATGTGGTTGAATAAAAAAGGCAAACATTGGATGGGCTGGCCATACTACCGGGATAAAATCGCGGCTAGAACGACATCATCATTGATTGATTGATGGAATATGAAAAAGTATCAAGAAAATACCATGCAAACGTGCAACTTAGTCAGGGCATCATTTAGACGTATCTTACTTCATTTCTAGTACTGTCTTGAGCTGCATTATCCGTTGTAAATCTACAGTAATGCTAGTTGGACTAGGAAAAAAGTCCATGATGAAGAAAAAAGGGAAATTGAATTTAGTTATCATGACCGATGCAATAAAACACAATCCTGCCTTGAAACTATATCAATCATGACGTCGCTAATCTAATTGGTAAGTGGAGTAGCATCCCCAAAAACATGAGATACCAATTGAAATATCATGTTAATCCAATTTTATGCTTGGATAGTATTGATTCATGGCTAGTTTGAAGAAGATTGGGAAAATGGGACGAATCTTGGATCGTCTTTGATGATCCATGGAAGCAGTTGCATACTGCAGTGTAGAATGCATTGATGAGCATGACAGCAATGTTATGCTATCGACTGGGGGGGTAATGGATGAGATGGAGGATAAAATCCTATTCTCCGCCTGGATACTCTACGTATGAAGGAATAAGGAAGGACGATCATCAAGGCAGAAGCTTTACCAAAGTTTAATCCGATATCTTTCTTCTTCTACTATACTGCATTCTGCTCTTTTTCCTTCTCGTGGTTAGCCTAACTTATTCCATATGCGTACAGTATTGGTGTGAAGAGTAATGCTATCGCAGGTACCCAAAATCAATGCAGATTGATTTTGGACATGATGCTAGTGTAGACCAAATGGATTAGTCCTTCCTCGAATGGATTGTACGTGTAGGGGGGTAGATGCTGCAAGGTCGATTAGGGAAAGGGACTTGACGAATGGAATGAAGTCAAGATGGTCAACGATCAGTCATTCCTTCCTCTAAAATGGATGCAGATTTATTTTTTGACACGATACTAGTGTAGACCAAATGGATTGGTCCTTCATCGAATGGATTGTCCATGTAGGGGGTAAATACTGCAAGGTCTATTAGGGAAAAGGACTTGACGAATGGAATCATGTCAAGATAGTCAACGATCAGCCATTCCTTCCTCTATGTTGGTATCACCAACGGCGAGAATGGATTTGGCATGGTTGTAAAAACATAACGCAAAAAATGGCGGCTATCAACAGCCATGACTGTAGTAAGTCTACGTTATTGGTAGTATTTGATGTTTTGCAAGGGTTTATGTAAGCTAAAAGTAGATGCGTACCAGCATATCCATGCTGAACAAGATGGAATTGTACCGTGTGATGGTGTATCTGATTGAAACTTACAGATTGCATTTTCGTTGTAAATAATTTCAAATTCACGCTCAATCTGGCCAAAGAGATCAGCTAGGCGAGAGCGCAATGGAGGAGGCAGACTGCCTTCATTGGCTTCTCCACGCCATGGACGTCGATTGGAGGAGCGTTGCTTGGCTTTGGGCATTGGATATGGATATCGATTGGAAGGCAAAGTGATGGGAAATGTTGCAGGCAGTTGTTGTTCTTCTTGTCGATGGTTTGCCGGTAATGACAACAAGACGATGGTATTTTGGATGTCTGCAGTCTTCCTTGATGGCTGTTGTTGTGATTTAAAGTCTTCTCAAGGTCGTTGCTAATGTCCAACGAGTTTTTTTTCCTACTGGAGGTTGATTAATAATTTGATTTGGATGAAAAGATCGATGACGGATGCTGAATATTGCAATCAAGGGCTGGACAAGGACAAAAGAGTCTAATGTCAACAATAGGAAAGATGGCCAAAAAAACTTTCTAGCACGATACAAAGTCCACGACGTTGTCTTCCTTCACCTGTGTGATATAGACTCTCTTTCTCTCTTCTTACATGGATCAATCTGTAGTGGAACTACACATGAAGGAAGAAGCGATATTGAATTGGAGATCGCAATGGCCTAATATCGAATTGGATCGATGCAAGTTTGCATGGCTTTTTTTAGCCAAGTCGATGAAGACAATTTGCAGTAAACTAAAATTCAATCATGCTACACTAATGATCAAGGTGACAACAAGGATGAAATGGAATTTTTTTTCAAGTCTGTTGACAAGTCAATGATGGATACAGAGTTGAATTGGAAAGCAAGAGCAAAGAGAAAATACTATGATGGAAGAATTGATAGTCAAGGGAAAAGAAGAACGCAAGACCACTGGACGCTGAGGATCGCTGTTGGATTGATCAGCTGCAAGTTGTATCTGTACCTGCTCAAGACGACTGTTGAAATTGTCACAATGGATATACTGTTGGATAGATCAATTAAAACGCTCTAATCATGTTTGTAGACTGGAAAAATGGACGCAAACTAGCGTAGTTTGCTTTTAGCAACAAGATGGCAGCAGCGATGACCTAGTGCAAGATTGGATGGAGACGATTGCGTTCCCAACCGGTACCGAATCGGTCTAGCTCTGAACGCCGACGAAGGGTGATGGTGTCTGGTGTCCGTGATCACCAGTCGGTTCAGGTGATCGCAGCGAGTCAACTCTTTTCCTCACGTCACTCTCACGGACGCTTCTAGTGGTGTCCACTCACCTTGGCAGTGTGGTCATCGGCCAGTCGAGTCACTTTGGTGGCGTCACCATCGCCGCCTCCACTGGGTACTCTACGCTTTGTCCGCTGGCTGATGACTCGACCCAGTAGACAAAGGCGCTGCGATCAAGGTGTGAATCAACCCTTGTCATACCCCAGTACACTTCAACTCAGTACTTGTACGTCCAACAATGGCATTTTCTTCTTGACAATGTCCACAGTGTACAGTCTGCACTATACTGTATAGTACTGTAGTGGACTGGACTGTGCTACTGTAGTATCAAACGATATCCAACATGGAGATTTTGTTGAAATTCGTAGTTTCATTCAGCTTCGCATTTCTTAGCTCATTTTTAACAAGCTTTCCCAAGTATTTAAATACTTTATTATCAAGATTAAGTTGAAATTTATAGTTTCATTCAGCTTCCCATTTCTTAGCTCATTTTTAAGAAGCTTTCCCAAGTATTTCAACACTTTATTAACGAGATTTTGTTGAAATTTGTAGTTTCATTCAGCTTGCCATTTCTTAGCTCATATTCTACAAGCTTTCCTGGGTATTTCAACACTTTATTAACGAGATTTTATTATTGAGATTTTGTTGAAATTTGTAGTTTCATTGAGCTTCCCATTTCTTAGCTCATATTCTACAAGCTTTCCTAGGTATTTCAACACTTTATTAACGAGATTTTGTTGAAATTTGTAGTTTCATTCAGCTTGCCATTTCTTAGCTCATATTCTACAAGCTTTCCTGGGTATTTCAACACTTTATTAACGAGATTTTGTTGAAATTTGTAGTTTCATTGAGCTTACCATTTCTTAGCTCATATTCTACAAGCTTTCCTGGGTATTTCAACACTTTATTAACGAGATTTTGTTGAAATTTGTAGTTTCATTGAGCTTACCATTTCTTAGCTCATATTCTACAAGCTTTCCTGGGTATTTCAACACTTTATTAACGAGATTTTGTTGAAATTTGTAGTTTCATTGAGCTTACCATTTCTTAGCTCATTTACTACAAGCTTTCCTAGGTATTTCAACACTTTATTAGCGAGATTTTGTTGAAATTTGTGGTTTCATTGAGCTTACTATTTCTTAGCTCAGTTTTAAGAAGCTTTCCCAAGTATTTCAACACTTTATTAACGAGATTTTGTCGAAATTTGTTGCTTTCCTAGGTATTTCAACACTTTATTATCAAGATTTTATTGAAATTTGTAGTTTTATTGAGCTTGCCATTTCTTAGCTCATTTTCTACAAGCTTTCCTGGATATTTCAACACTATCACGATGTTATCAAGATTATGTTGAAATTTGTAGTTTCATGGAGCTTCCCATTTCTTAGCTCGTATTCTACAAACTTCCCCATGTATTTCAACACTTTATTATCAAGATTGTGTTGAAATTCAAAGTTTCATTGAGCTTTACCTTTTCTTAGCTCATTGTCTACAAACTTCCCCATGTATTTCAACACTTTATTAGAAAGGAGTTTATAAACTGAGTATCAAGAAATAGGCTTGAGTTGAACATTTGCAAGAAGCAAGGTCAAGGTAGCAAGGACTTCTAGAAATACCCAAGTGCATTTCAAGGAGTCCTTGATTGTAGGTAAAGTTCATTGAGCTCAAATCGTGCACTCATCAAAATAGACTAGAGTAGTGCAGTCCAATGAGTTTATGGTCAAGTTTGCAAAGAGTTTATGCAACAGTAGGACGAGCACAAAATGAGCGATAATGTACTCTACTGTCGATGAGATGATACTGCATGGATGGTTAATGGCAGCACTAATCTGTCTGCTGTGACTTCTTGCAAGATCGTCTACAGTTAAGTATCGAAGTAGAAAGAAAGCTAAAGTTATTATCAGCCGGCATGACTCATTTTCTGACTAGACTAAAAGCTGTACGAGTATTGATAGAGAGTGAGAGAAAGATGGCGCAGTATTGCTAACATTCGTCTTGGCCAGGGGTTGGATTGCGTCTATCGTACGATGTACTGTATGATGTTACCAGGGATTACTTTACTAAAATTCTCCCCTCCAAGTGGTCACTCAAAAATTTTCCCCTCTACTGCATTGAATTCAGAACTATTTATGCAATTTTAAAAAAAAAGGAATATCCAATAAAAACCTCACTGATTATTGGTCAAAAGCATTTCTGTTTCAATCTCTACATTACAACAGCAATGGCAAATGGTTACCTTGTAAGCACACTTGTGTCAATGTGTGATTTCTAAAGATCAAGGGGCAAAATGCCAAATGATTTTGGATCACTCATTGATTGTACTAATTGGAATGCAGTCGTTAAAGAGTATAGGGGAAACTATTGGAGGGGAGAATTTTTCCTTGGGTAATCCCCGATATGCCATACTGTCTCCATGGAGGTCAAGAAAGAAACACCTCTAGAAAAGTGTTTTTCTTACCTCGATGGTGAGTCTAGAACATATATACCCTAGCAGGGACTTGTGAAATAAATGCAGGGCCTTACTAGCTCATTTCCAAGGGAGAAGATGGCGGCCATGAAATGGAGGTGATCTTGTTGATAGACATCGCCATGAATGCAATTGATGGCATGTTGTGGTTGTTCGGATATCAATCCGATACTAACCACTGCCAGCCATCAAATGTACAGCTCGCTGGCTAGGCAGAGCTTGCTGGAACGCCGCCGCGTTGCATAAACTAATAACGTTGGCGTAAGCAATTGGGCATCCTTTCTGGCAGCAACTTTTTCCTTTTCACAAGTTCTGAGGCCTGCAATGATGGGTGGGATTCATTGCTTGCTGCAATACTCGTACAGTACTGTAGTCGATGATCATCATCGCAACAGCCATCAGTTCGGAACAGATTGGTTGCAAAGTCATAAAATTGAACGCATTTTCTTCTGTACTTGGCAGCCAATCGCCATTCTATTACAGGATGGCTCTAGAAAATCGTCGGGATAGAGATGGACAGTATTACCCACAACTGGAAATAGGGCACCAGACATTGAAAATTCCATCATTATGGCCATCAGTAGCTTGAACTATATAATCAAAAATATCACTTAAACCAGAGACTTGAAAGAAATGCTCCTCCAAGTCCCTACTCAAGCCAAGGAGAAATGCCCGTTGACATCAAACACATGTTATCAACCTATCGTACAATTTCCCCTTGCAGACCCGTTATGAAACGCCCATTGACATCCAAAGGATGTCTGGAAATCTTTGGTAGAATTTTCCTTTACAGACCTCCAAGTCCCTACTCTAGCCAAGGAGAAATGCCCGTTGACATCAAACACATGTTATCAAGCTATCGTACAATTTCCCCTTGCAGACCCATTATGAAACGCCCATTGACATCCAATGGATGTCTGGAAGTCTTTCGTAGAATTTCCCTTTACAGATGAGTCATGAAATGTCCATGACTGCAAATGGACGTTGTAGCGATTTCAGCAAATTACAGTAGTTACAAATATGTACGGTATCTCTTGATAAAGTAAAGGGTTGAAAATCCATACACTACAGTGGTAGAAATTTTTCGCTCAAAGTTTTCCTTTGCAGACCAACCATGAAATTCCCTTGGACATCAAATGGATGTCTACAGTATAAATCTTTCGCGAAATTTTCCATTGCAAACCAGTCAGGAAATGCTCTTGGACATTGCCCCAGATTTACAAACTCAATACTTGTTAATAGAGTACACTACCTACAATTGTATATTATAATCTGTCCATACTCCTATACGTATAGAGAGAGAGATATACCGTATCACATCAATCTTTCATTGCAATAGCATTGGAAGGAATGGAACATTATTGGATACGACTAAGGCGCTTTGCTAATGTCCAATATCGTTATTGAGGCTGCAAGCAACTCCAGAATGAAGAAGTAGTCTAGCGCTTTTACTAATATCCAATATCGTTATTGATGCTGCTAGCAACTCCAGAATGAATAGTAGTCAGTAGTCTGGCGCTTTTACTAATGTCCAATATTGTTATAGATGCTAGCAACTCCAGAATGAATAGTAGTCAGTAGTCTGGCGCTTTTACTAATGTCCAATATCGTTATTGATGCAGCAAGCAACTCCAGAATGAATAAGTAGTCTGGCGCTTTTACTAATGTCCAATATCGTTATTGATGCAGCAAGCAACTCCAGAATGAATAAGTAGTCTGGCGCTTTTACTAATGTCCAATATCGTTATTGATGCAGCAAGCAACTCCAGAATGAATAAGTAGTCTGGCGCTTTTACTAATGTCCAATATCGTTATTGATGCTGCTAGCAACTCCACAATGAATAGTAGTCAATAGTTGTCATCAAGAGTTAGATTGCATGAATACTAAACACTTGTCAGTAATCAATATTAATTTATTGCTAGTTTAACAGTGAAATTGAATTTACCTTTCTCAAGGTTTATTGAGTAAAATTTCCCTTGACAGTGATTACGATTATCAGCCGCAGGTGTGGAGTAATCAATGGCGCTAATCCAATGGATCACTTTGCAAGGCAACATGGATATGATTGGGCCTCAAATTGTTGAATTAGCAAGCTATGAAATGAAATCAATCCATTCAAATAGTCATAATATCAATTTTGACTTATACTATGCCTGAAATTTCACTCTTACGGTTATCATAATTACCAGGCTGTACATGAAATTAAAACAATTCTTACTACTTTAATTGCGATACTATCAAACTAGAACAGGGCGAATGACATTAATTTGCTGTCTCTTCCACCGCAGTTTATTTTTCTACATTAAATACTTGAACACACTAAGACATCAATAAATAGGATAAAGTCATTAACAATCCTGTAATCATTCCATGCTACTATAGGTAGCATCGACAGGGAAGAGAATGGACTAATGTTGCTTGCTTGGCTCTCTTCACTCAATACCGCAGTTTATTTTCTACATTAAATACTTGAACACACTAAGACATCAATAAATAGGATAAAGTCATTAACAATCCTGTAATCATTCCATGCTAGTATAGGTAGCATCGACAGGGAAGAGAATGGACTAATGTTGCTTGCTTGGCTCTCTTTCAATTTCAATCGGTTTACAACTAGAATCGTCTCGTGATTGATTGGAACTTGTTTCTCCTGATGTATCTTCTTCAAAACAAAATAATAGGAATATCGGTGTTAGAAGAGAGTAATACAATTCTCCAATTTTAATTACAAAATCATACACTCTTACCTAGTGGCGATATAAAATAACGTTCCAACACATTGGCTAAATCGTCAATGATATTCATGCCTATCAAAGCAACTTTACCATACCAAGATTTCTGGTACCAGAAAGTTTCTGCTATCCTACTTTTGGTTTGAGTAACGCTAGGATGATCATCATCAAGTCTTTCCGATCGAATTTTCAAAGCCTTTCCAAATAAAGGAAGAGCTGTATCGTATTTACTTTGCATAAAATAGACATTCCCCATATTGTAATACGACGTAGCCACTTCCAGATGATAATCGCCAAACCTTTGCAGCTGAATCTTATGCGATTTTTGAAACATACCAAGGGCATCGTCATATTTACCTTGGGCATGATAGACATTGGCAATGTTGTTGTAGGCATTGACTACATGAGGATGTCTATCTCCAAGGACTTGCAGATAGATCTGCAGCGATTTTTCAAACATAGAAAGAGCTTCATCATTCTTGCCTTGATTATAATATACACTTGCTATGTTGTTATACGATGTTGCAACATCAGGATGATTTGCATCAAGCGCCTTCAATCTTATTTCAAGAGATTTTTTGTACATAGAAAGAGCATCATCATATTTCCTTTGATTTCTGTAGACAAGTCCAACGTTGTTATAGGAAGAAGCAACATCAGCATGATTATCGTGCAAAATCTCGAATCGAATGGCTAATGATTTTCGATACATTGAAAGAGCTTCGTCATACTTGCCTTGATTGTAACAGACAGTTCCAATGTTATTATAGGAGTTTGCAACATCACCATGAGAATCGCCAAGTAGATGTAATCTAACCTTCAGTGATTTGTGATACATGGAAAGTGCATCATCATACTGAATTTGATTCAAATAGACAGAGCCCATGAGGTTATACGATGTAGCAACATCAAGATGATAAGTACCAAGAAATTGTAAGCGAAGGTTAAGCGATTTTTCAAACATGGAAAGAGCTTCTTGATATTGACCTTGATTGTAATAGACATGCCCAATTTTATGGTAGGAATTGGCTACAGGTATATTTTCTTCTCCCAACTGATTCAATTTTATTTCAAGTGATTTCCTAAAGTCTTTTAATGCTGCTGTTATTTGACCTTGTAATCGTTTAATACTACCACGTCTATCGAGGCAGTCTGCGATTCTAACTTGGTCTTGCAGTTTACTCGCTAATTCTTGTGCTTGGATGCTAAAATCAGTAGCCTTAATTGCCTCACGTTGCCGTATATAAATCTCGCAAATATCAAGATAAATGTCGCATTGGAGTTGTTCTAATTCTGAAGTACTTTCCGCCGTCGGAATAAGCCCAATTTGTTCCAAGGCTTGCGTATAACACGATAATGCTTGTTGGTAGTCACAAGTGTTACAATATTGCTGGCCAGTTTCATGTAGGCGATAAATTGGCTGAAACTTGCTGGATTTTAAAGGTTGGCTAGCCATAAGTAATTTCTGTAGATATAAACGTTTCGAAAATCGATACCACGGATAAAACGACGCTGGGTGCGAATGTTATAGTTAGGTGCCAACCATTAATTTTTAGGCGGTGTTGATCCTCTCGATTGCTTTTATTTTTGAATATTTTAGACTCTATATTGAAGGATGCTTAAGACAGCTCTTGCATGAGTTATTAAAGGATGAAATAAGCTTAACATGGCGCCTAGACTATCAAAGTCTCCCGATAGGAATACAACAATGAGCGTTCATTTACCTTCAGGCAGGAAAGCATAAATTAGCATAAATTAACATAAACGCATTGAATATTCTACCTACTTGTTGTAGGTAGAATTTATGATATATCATTGGATCCAAATTGAATTGCTGACACAGTAACTGCTTGTAATAAATGCGTCTTACAATAACTATCTTAGTCAAATGGTATTTTCTAAAAGGCTTTTATTGCAAGGTTTTAGGAATAGTAGAGCAATAATTGATTATGACAAGAATCGAGTCTAAAATGTAAAATATTCCGAGCTCAAAGCGAAGTGTAGTCTCTTCTTCTCGTGAGCTCATCTCTGCAGTTCTTATATACAGTCAGTTAAATCCATTGATGGCAACTTGATTCATCTACAATCAGACATAAGTCATCAAACAAAATACTTTTCTCTAATAACACATCATTATTTTCTACAGTTGAAATCATTGCACTTAAGATGTTATTACTCTTCTATGAACGTCTAGCTCTTTCTCTGAAGGGCATCTTAACAACGACAGTGTTTCTAGCTACCTAACTCTTGTACCATAATGAGTCAACTGGCTACGATTAGTCATCAACAATTTGTAATATAGTAGTTAGCAATCATCTAATATTACCTTCGCGATACTATCTATTCAAAGTAACCTAACTATATCAAATATAGCTATTCGTAGAATCAAATATGGGCGCATCGTTACACTGCTTATTATAGCATTTCGTTTAAGTAGACAGTAAATAAAATAATGAAAACATACGTGTGTATATCATCTAATATGGGTTATTTCAAGCCAGTAAAGTTCACTGTATGGCATTTTACTACCATAGTATTAGCGAATATGGAATTGTCTAGCAGAAATTTCCAATCTACAGGAGATATAAAAGACGAAATAAATAATGCGAATTCTGTTTATTGCAAATAAAAGAGGGAATTTATGAAGGTCGATAACTTGTAGTCATTGCAAGCTGTATATATAGATAACTAAAAGACTTGAGTAATTATCCAGTCTCTGACTAGGGTCTCTAGTTAGTACTGCAAATGAATTCGATTTAAGCTTTATTCGACTAAATATCAACTCCCTTCGATCGACTAAATAATTGTGACTGAAAATTGTAGCGGGTACAATGGTTTCTTTACATGCAATAACATCAATCTATAACATAGATTGCAGGCAAACTCCAATTTTTTATTTTTTTTATTTTTCATAAAATTTAGTCACCCGTTAGAACGGTTACTATTTGCCTTATTTTCAAATTTTTTTATAAGTCCTAAAAACTAGCTACGGGTAAATTAGCTTTTATTGCATATTATTTAAAAAATCGACGTAGATCGGTGGGAGTATAGAATACGACTAGAAGTATCACTTCTTGTCATCTATTCCTCCATTTTCTATCTCTGTTAACATCTTTCCATCCTTCTCATATAGCTATGCTACCGTATTTACTTCAATATCATGAATATTTATCCTGAAATAGCAGGTCCGATACTTCTATATTGTCTAAATTTCAAGGCTAACATAAATTATAATATCTCATACTAATCACGTCTAGATTTATTCATGAACACAAATATGATAAAAAAATGTCATATTCTCTGCTCTCTCTATAATTATATACAATCAGTTATCGCTACTACTTTTTCCATGATCGCTTCATTGTCAAAAATGAACAAGTTGACTCGATAATTAATCTATGGAGGCAAAACGTATAGACGCCATCTTCAATCAGTAGTAACTAAAATATACACTAATTTTACATCACCTACTGCTTCTTCATACTAGTGCTTGCAAAGCATATAACTCTTGCAGTTTGAAATACTAAACAAGTTAATCATCGGCCGACTTCGAGGTAGACTACTATGTCTTCTATCACGGAATGAAATAACCCTTTCCGGTCACGTTTCATAAAAGGTTTCATGTCGATAGATCCATTTTGGATTCTTTTTCTTTGAGATTATAATAGGATATCGCAAGTATTGGAGTCATGCTGTAAGCAAATACTGCGAGAGGATAAGTCAGATAACGGACAAAAGTTTATTTTACTGGTAGCAAACCTTTAAATAAGAGCGTAGGTATATGAACAGCAAATTAGTTATTTTGATGTTATTAGCTGCCAACAATTCCATTGCTGATACAATAATGTTGTGTATCTCTGTATTTCTTTCTTATGTTCTTTCTCTGTTTTTGCCGATATTAAAATAATCTTTAATTAACTGTCTAATCTAGTGGATTGGATTATTATCTTATTCATTCATTAGAAAAACTGAATGACGGTGGAGTTTTCTTCTTGTTGTTTCTGGTGTAAAAGCATTCGTTATTTAATGGTAGGCTCTTTACATAATAGCAACGTTAGCCACATGTCAAGATTTAATATTATCTTTTTCATTAGAGTAGTCAATAAAGGGAAATTATTGATCCCGTGAAATTTTGTGAAGCCACGGTTAAATAGTAATGGTAGCCAATTATATCTATATATGAAAGACCGCAACATTGCTATACGAATAATTATTATAACTATGGTTTTCTGTCATAAAATATAAACAATTCGCAGCCTAATGAACAAAGTATAAAAGAAAAGAATGCTTATTAGGCAAGTTCTGCTCAAAGTGTGAAAGATCCTTATTGCTATACAGTTGTGATATAATTAATCAGGGATTTTCAAAGTTTATAAGAAATTAGAAATTTATTAGATCTTTCGCACGAAGATGCTTTGCACGTCTCTACTCGAATTGGATGAAATTTATTTTAAATGATCAATAAATCTTCTACGTGCACAAATCCTTCAATTAAGTAAGATAGAAGCAAGCACCCATGGCACACCGGTATAGAATGAGGATACTAATCTACGATTCATGGTGAAAGCTATTCTTGAGGCCTACAGTTTTTTAATTTTTTTCAAAACTATTTATCCTCTATGTTTAAATTTGGCAATTGAGCTATATATTTTATTATTATTCTTCCTAAAAGCTTTAGTCTAAATGTTAATTAGTTTTTCGGGCTACTGTAGTCGGATCACTGATTTATTCATGCACGATAGCAATTTTAAATAATTGTAAAATATTCTTTCATCAGTCATAAAAAGCCCAAAATTTGTGAATTTTTTGTTATCAATAATGGTTCCTAATGTACAGGTCTTGTCTTTCTCTATCTTTTCTTTAATAACCACGATATTATGTATAATCATTAAATATACTTAATGTAATATACTTTCCTTCGAAGTTTTATATCGAAATTTGATATGGTTGAACTTTAATCACTATTATTGTTAAAATTGAAAAATTCATTTCTATACTTTATGAGAGAAAACACTAAATAATAACGTCGTTAATTGAAAAATTTTATTATCTCACCATAAGATCAATTCTATCTATCGTATTGGTATCACTAGCAATAATTATTCTTGTCATTAGAGTAAATTTGTTTAGTCTATTCCAAATAACTTATCCATGGCAAAAGAAGGGGAAAAAATAGCCTTAAATCATAGGCAGGAATTACTTTAAAATTAAATGTTTACTTATTTCCATTGACTAATTGCGTTGCCATTTCGCGATATTGGCCAAAGAATTGTCGTAATTTATCAAGATATATTTTAGCATCATTTTTAGGGTAGCTTTTAAATGTAGAACAAGAAATATTCAATTTATGAGGTTGAATATTATAACATATTCCAAAACCATGAAGGCATGCTGGAGCAAAGTTTGAATTGGAAAGATCCGCTAGTGATACCTACAATTTCAATGGAATGGAACTTTTTAACAAATATTCAAGTCGATATAGACTACTCACCCAAGACATTTTTAATATCTTGGTTAGATAATAACTTTGTAGAAGAAATAGACGAAAAGTTACCTGACTAGTCGAAATTTCGTATTGGTTAAGCCTTTGAAAAGAAAAATCCTTAAAAAACTTCGGTTCTGGCAATCCTTTCTCCAATGCTGCTATCTTCAAGCCGAACAAATGTCTATCGAAGCCTTGGCCTATAAAGGCCTTTATATCAAACGATAATATTAGAGTTAGACTTCAATATTTCGGTTAAAATGATCTAAATTAAAATGCCATCAAATATTTAAATAAGTCCCAACTAACTTCTCTAGCCAGTTTATTATGAGCCTTTGTAGCTTCAACAAACGCCGCTAACTTTTCGCTATCCTAGTTATCATCAATTATACGATAAATCCTCAAAAATTCCTGCTTCGATTGCTTTTCAAATCAACTCATCTTGATGAAAATTACTGTAGCGATAAAACTTGATCAAACTTAGTATTTATTGTATCTATCCAACCGTTGCTTCAGAACTTGTCCAAATTTGGCATAATTCTTTGGATTTTGATGTTGCAGAACGAATATTTTCGGTTCTGCCATGGGCGAAAAGCCTTAAAGTACAACTTTCGTATTGATTTGCAAATTCATTTTTTAGCCTGAATCGATTCAATATCTTCCGTTAAAAAAAAAGAACCACATATCCATGATCTAATTACTGTGTAGAACTATAGCTGCCAAATTTTACGTAGGATTCAAATTGAGGATAAATATATTTTTAGGATGACCAAATTACTATGCAAAATAGTGATTGTAAAATTTCATAAAGGGTTCTAGTTGTGGATAAATTTATTTTTATAGATTGAATTTAGTTACCGTACTTACATGTAGTAAACCAATTGAAAAGCAGTTTGCAGAAAGCTATCCGGGCTCATTTTTTGAGTTTTGATAAACTCTTTACCATATTCGCAGAATACTATACTCCGTGATAAAACGTTATCCACAGCTCTATATGTAATTAACGTTGAAAAAGTAACCTGAATTAGGTGATTAATTCACACTTGTAAATCAAATCTTGAACATGGCTAATTGCAATAAAGAGCATGTCAAACTTGTCGAAAACTTCTGCTGTTTCCCGTATATCCTTGACTATATCTTCAGACAGATTCCATTCGATTTTCTGAGGTGGCGGGACTTCATTTAGATATTCTTCAGATACTTCTTCATCAATTTTGAAATTGGAGCTATTGCGTTCATTTTGTAAATAACAGCAATGAAAGAAATAGACAAGTTAGCGACATCAATATCCATAACATAGAGAAGTTTAGCTCCAGCATGAACGTTAAATGAATTCATTTATTCAAGATCTAATTGGTAAATTAGGCTTGTATTTCATTTCCTGATAAGTTCTTATATTGAAATCAAAGGTGCATAAATTTAAATGTAGTCTGCTTGCATTTTCTATGTAGTTTAATGGCAGAGACAATCAATTGGCGATTATTATCTACTACATCTTACATTCCTTGGTCAAGGTAGATATTGCAATGAAATGTTGGCGCTCCATCCATGTAGCTATGCTCGCCTAACATACCATAATATCCATAGCCCCCAAGGTAATAGGTAATCCCTTTATCATTCCATCGATTAGCAGCACTATATTTGGCGCCGAAGCCATGTAAGCCTGCTGCCGTACATAATGAATACTTTTCATCAAGATAGTCTGCATGATCGGGGCCAACAGGAATCTCCGGTAAATTGCGTTCTAAGCTTAAAACTGAAATTCCACGAAGAATTGTCCGAATTGATTTCTTATTTTGTGGATCTAGTGGGTAAAATAACACATTAGTTTTCAAATCGGATGAAATTGGTTTATTAGCATAAGCAAAACGCACTTAATACCTTTGAGCAAAAGTTCATAAATATCAGCCCATTTTGCACGCTCTGCAGTTGTCAATATACCGATAGGTTCGGATTCTTCAGCAGACATTTCTATTAATCTTTTAACTTGCTTTCTCATTTCAGCGAACGAAATGAGTTTATCGTCTTTGATGGTTTCAACGGCGAAAAACTATTTCCCCATAAAATAATTCGATATTGAAAATTACTTTGTTTTAGCTCCTCGATCTCATCAATTAAATAAGTATCGCAATACTATATCTATTAGTAACATCAAGAAGATTTTCTACACAAATATAATCCTTCGTGCAAGCAGGGTCAATATGTTGGTAAAAGTAAGTATGACATTCTTTTGCTATTAATTGCCTTAACAATATAAAACATATCTACTTGATCAAGCGAATGATAGCCTTAGGACAAAATTAGATTGAGCCTTGAGCATTACCCGATTATTATGAGAAATGATAATGTGTTTAGAAATACTTTCATCTCCAACATTTTGAAATTCAAAATCATCCATATCTTGCTTAGGAATTCTTCCACCGGCATACATGTATAATTTTTGCATCATGCATAACGGCTTACCCGCAACAAGCTCTGGTTCCAAAGTTTCACTAGTACAGAAATAAAATGGCATGATCAACTTGATTATCTACATCATGGATATGTCTGACATTCTTAACCAAGCCGAGTAAGCTCGTTTTCTTACGTATAGATTTTCCAATAGTACTCAGATATTTTCAGAGCGAATTTAGCGGCAAGGCTATTGGAGTATGAAAAGAAGCAGAAAAATAAAATTCTTCAAATTAAGTATTAAAAATAACTGTAGACAAAGTTAGCTATCTATAGCATTGATTATTCCTACGCTACTTTAGATAATATTTGCAAAGCTAATTTAGTCAGCATAACCGTTATCGTACCAGCAACTTACTCTATATATTCATCTTCCGTTGCAGCAGGCCCATAACCGATGACCATAGAACCAGAAGAATTAAAAATAATAGATTTTCTTTCCTTTAAGTAAACGTACTTGGTCCACCAGTCGGTTAACTAGTGCAATTATAGACGCATTCCAACAAAAATATTAGACATGAATGACATTGACAGTTACTCTCTTAAATGTGTATCAATTAAAACTAATATCAAACTTCAAAATAAATAATTGCTTATCCGTTGATTTTAAGAAGCTGCTCTCAGATACAGTATATTAAATATTACGCGTATGTTCAAGATTCAAGAATGGACGAATGAAATTAATGGAATGCTTCATTGATGATAGGGCTTTGCCTAGAGAGTAGATTACTATCAAATTTTCAGACTCGAATAAACTAGATATCATCATTCTTGTTCGAATCTGGAGTACTATAAAATCGACATAACTGGTTTACTGGTATTTAGCAATATGTATCAAGGCAAGATATGGACAAGATGTCATATGCACTATCAAGAATAGAGAAATGAAATTGCTCTGATACTTTATGGAAAATAGCGCTTTCTAAACATGTCTATCGAGGTAAATTAATGACAAGGTGTTACCTCATAGAGAGGGGTAGTCAATACGAGTTATAAATATCTTCAATGGCCACATGCAATCTTTGCTAGTTAAAATAATAGTGTTGTCAGGGAACGACCTTATGGGATATTTCAGTGATGATCTAAATATAAAGTATTGCTATTCGCTATATTTAATAGAACTAAATACCATTCGATAGGGGATAATATTAACTTGAAAGAATGGAGGAATAGAATAATCAAATTGACTGAATGTTTCGTTTAAGATCGCACTTTGCCTAGAGAGTAGGTAACTATGAAGATTCTAGGTTTGAATAAGCTTGGCCATTTTATTTTTGTTCCAACCTGAAGCACTATAAAGTATGGCCATTAAGGTAAATTAACGACAAGATATTACCTCATAGAGAGGGTTAGTAAAAGCGAGTCATAAATATCTTCCATAAGCATACGAAATCTTTCTTCAGCTAAAATAAAAGCATCATCAGGAAATGATGGTATAGGATATTTCAGTGATGGTAAAAATGTAAAGTACTTCTACTCGATATATTTAGTAATGCAGCTAAATACCATATGATAGGGATAAAATGAATTTGAAATTATGTACACCATTTTAAAATAAAAAGAATGTGGCGTATGGTAGAGTTATTCAACTCAATCAATTGCATTAAACATTGACATCATTCTGTAATACTGCTATGAAATATTACTAATTAAACGAATTCCATTTACTGTAGACTTTTGCTAAATGTAAAGATTAATTGATGTCTACACGGCGTAATTACAGTAAAAATCAACCCAATACATTTAGTTTGAGTGGATGGAATATTCAATTTTAACTTGGAAACAACGACTTGTCTATTGCAAAATAAGAGTATCAACTATTTTTTGACTAACGCGTCCTAGAGGTTATTTATGTAAAATAATAGGTTTAAAGATCAAAGGTAATTTCTGCCAGTACTTCTATACTAGCATGGATTATATAGTACTGTAATAATCCACCATGCAATACTTATATCAATGCCGATATTCACCCAGTTCTCAGAAGATTTGAACTTTTCCAAAATATATTGCTGTATTTGCTCTGCAAGTCCATCTTGCTGAACAAATTCGCTGACTTCAGCTAGCGTTTTTGCATACTGCTCATCATCAACTAAAGGGCGAACAGCAGCCAGATATTTCTGGAAGGTATCCTGTAATTTTGGCACTGGAAGCTTTGGTAAACTGCTCTGGTAATGAAATGTGCTTAGAGATGCCATGTCAGCCAAGTTTGTAAAATACTTTGTTTCTTGCAGTAGCGGTTAAATCAAGTTTTGGAATTTAATTTTATGAAAATCCAAGCGAAATGTTACACGAGGAGAGAGAAATTTCCTGTTGTTATTCTTATGCCGTATGTAAGAATCACGTTATATGAGCATTACTATCCAATCACTACCTTATTATAGTTACTGAGCAGTAGACAACTTCTACTAAAACTACTAAAGATCCTGCTATGATGGGATATTTTTTCACCTTTGATCTCCGATTACTCAATAGATCAGCTTGATATGCCCCCTTACTAAGCGTATTTGCATATTAACAAAATTTTAGATCAATAACCTCATCATGACATTACGATAACTTAATAGATAGTAAACAAGCTAATAAAATACATTTAATAGAAGAACACTAACACTATGCTCAGATTTGAATTATTCATCATAAAAGCATACGAGATACAAATTTAGGAAATCGTATGATCGATTCTACTCTGCTAATCAGATGTGGTCTACATCATGAAAATTGACTAAGAAGAATGTAGCACCATATTTAAAATAAAATTCCTATTTGTATTACTTTTAATGGCAAGGTGGATATTTAGTACATCGTGAGTCTAATTTTATACATCAAATATAGTCCATGCAATGGTAACCGAAATGCAATGATGTAAAAGGCAATCTAACAAAATTACGATGGAGTTTATACTTAAGAATTAAAATTTGCAGCGACTTTCTATTCAAATTTTTCTTGATTGCCGACGAGATATTTACTAAATTCTAAGACAGAATTTGCTCATTAAATATAGACTTAGTCATGATATCTAAGTACAAAAAATGTATAGCATATCATGGCGAAATTATGCTGGAGTTTAGAGCATCGTCAGATTCGAATTAACATTAATAGCAAGATAGGCACTCTCTATATTACCAGGTTTTATTCATTGAATGAAATCTTTGCGGCGATTATGCCATTGAATGGATTATATTAGGGTTCAGAACATTTTTAGACTTAAATTAGTCCTAGTAGCAAGATAGATAGCTATTAGCAATATCATGAGCTAGATTTACTCATTAAACCTAGTCTTTGCAGCGATAATATCATTAAATGGCAGTCATGGACTGTGGAAAATAGTTTAACAAATTTAGATACGAACTTATTAAAAAGATAACTTAGATTAGGCGGTCAATCATAAGCTTTTCTATATCAATTAGGCCTAATTTATCGAATGATAATTAAATGGTAGTCATAAATAAATGCGTAAAAAATGAGGTTAGCCGATGATTCAATAACTACAATATTATGATAACCCCAGCATATACCAACTTAAAAAAGCTTAGTAAATATTCTATGTAATCATGATGTTTCATTAACCGAAATGTAGATATAAAAGTGTTTGCTTGGGGTCAAGATTTGCTCTATTTGAGTACACATTAATTTACATGAGCCTAACATTAGTAGAGAAGAAATAGACCGCAGAATCGCACCCAACTGTTATTATAGCTGGATGAGTCTGAGATTTTTCGCATTTCTTTCGCAACTATGTCAATCTAATCTACATAAATGGATGACAGTTATATTTATGTCCATTTTGTAACCATAATGAAAACAGCAAGGTCAAAGTCTCATTTTCCATTGAGAGAATGCTAACATTTCATGATCATAGCAGTTAATATGGCCCCAAATTCTGTACACCAACAAATAGTATACAAAATATTGAATGCATCATACCGTATTGTACATTAAATTGAATTTAACAGGTATGGCCCTTGTAATAATATAGTGAGTAATTATGATAAAAGAGTTTAAAAAAATTTAGGCTAGATCTAGTCCTAATAGTAATATAGAAGCTTAATCAGTCGCAAGCCAGATTCTAATAACCAAATTGAGTGAGATTCTATTGATAAATAGTGGAAAACAAGGCTGCTAGATTTGAAATGAACGTGGATATTTAATGAAAAAGGATAATTAACAGATCGTAAGCCGGACTATGTTAACTGGATCTAGCTTATGCAGCCATTAACAATAATGTAAAACAAATTCACAATTTGCTTTAAGTGCACCCTGTTGTAGATAGTGTTAGATATTAACTATAATATATCTTACATGAGCTATAAAATAGAGCATTAAGTGTATGATTAGGAGGTTATCTATATAATTATTTTCAATAGGATGACTATATTGTAGTCTTGTAACAATGTATATGATTATATTGTAAGGTGAACTGATAATTTACTATAGATAACCATATGTTATAAAGTAAACGATAGCTAGAATAGTTAGTAATTAGATGTATGTCTTCAATGCCACGACGCATAAAGGTAGTAGGTATAAGCTGGAATATCTATAAATACCCGGTAATTTTAATAGTAAAGCCAGTTACAAATCTTACTCGCGGAATAGAACTCATTGCGTAAAAATATAACGCATCCTGCGCTACATAATAGTCATCAAGTCTAGTCGATGTAATGGCGTAAACGATTTACAAAGCCATACAAGTGCAACTAGCAATGTTAGAGATGATACAATCACAGAACACTGCTATTAATTCGCCTAGCTTTAGTTCTTTCCCATCAATCTCCAGGGTATATTAATATCATTTCACTCTAAATCAATTAGGTTTATTATTCTTCATGCTGTTATTTATTATACTATTAAAATAATAAGTTCAAAGTTCTACTTCCTATCTAAGGATGCACTCATTTTTAATAATTATAGCGCTAACGCTGTTTTCTCTAATTGTGCAAAGATGACATCAAAATAAGTTGGATTTAGTTATTGTAAAACTATAAAATAATGTGGACTTTTTCGTTCTAAAACGAATCTCTAAAGATCTTTTATCTATATGCTTATACTTATAGTTAAATGCTTGCAGACTACGATTTTCTATTTCTTATCATTTATTCCAATCATGAAATGATTACACTACCATATACTATCAGTGTTAAAAAACAGCGTAATCGAATATAAATTACAAACATAGAAAAACAGAATTACTAATTGATAACATGTATTCACTTGTAAACATATTTTTCTCAATAGTTTGAATGACTACCGGCAGGGGATGCCTAAGTAGTATTTAGGGTCATCGTTCCGGCTAAATTTCTATAAAAATAAACATTCCTCTCTACTATTTTTTAAATCGGGATATTTCTAAAGGGAATAATTTTAAATATTTTTTCAACATTAACGATTATCAGCAAGCTATGATGGTGATAATTTACTGATCTTGTTTATAATAGACTAAATTATAAAAATAAGAAATGAAGAGTAAAATAATGATTTCATTGGCGAAAATTGTTGATGAGACGGTAAGAGAAATATTATAATATATTGACTATTATACTCATGTTTTACATCTTTACTCTAAACTTGTTTCTATAATTGTTATTTTTCGGCCTGTATACCAGTTACATCATTACTGGCAAGAGACTAATTACATATATTTAATTAATTATGCGTAATATTGATCACCAGACCACAAGAGATGTATTAATATATTGAATTTTTGCACATTGAACATAAAATACTGTTTATTTTTCGATTCTACTAAACTTGGCAAGGATCTTATAAATTTTCTACCTCACAATTTCCAACTGTTAGAGGAGTTTGAACTTTATTCCACATAATTTTATGCTTTTCAATGCACTAATATATACTGTTCATACATGCTTAAGTGATGAAATAGATTAAAAATTTTCAATCGCGGCAAATCAGAGATTTATTAATAGATGTAGGCTTTATTGAATTATAAGGGATAATATTCAATAGACGCTTTGAATACATGCATGATGGAACTAACTAAGTAAGGATCGTATAAAGCTTCAAACAGGCATTTTATTTACCACCTCTATAAATTGAAGACTAGGAAACAAAAGCACTAACCTTATAATAGCGTTTTTTTTAATTGATTACATTGTTATAACATTTCATTACTAATACTGTCTCCGAGGCTTTTAATGACAGCTTTCTTGGTTACATGTAATGCTGATTCATTTTAGCCCTGCTGGGAACATTTTATGGTTAAAACAAAAATATCAGAAAAAACTGAATTATTATTAGCAGGCTTAAGAAGTGATATGTTACCGTAATATATGTTCTGAAGGATATGAAATACAGATCTTATTGATTACGTAAGAATATAATTGATCTCACCTAGCAAATAATATCATAAAATATTTAGGCGTTGATAGTAAAATTTCTATTTAAAGTCAATGCGCCGTTGAATTTTAAAATATTGCTCAAAGGATGAGAGATTAATAAATCATTTAATCATATGTAAACATGTACTTTACTGGTGATTTTATAGATGAAACTAGATTAGTGAAAGATGGTATAAAGCAATTTACTACTCGCCCAACGTGATCAAGTAGACAGAATAAAAATTGACATAATGTAAAAGTACACCTTCATATCGTGCTATACTAAACTTCCGAAACTCTGAAATACTAGATGCACATTTAAGGCCTAATCTACCTAACTTAAACTTAATATTTTAAATTGTCAGTCATGCTTCATTAATGCGCAATCGACGTGGAATATATGATTATCAATATCATTTGCAACTGTTGTCTCATTATTATGGCAACAAACTAGAGTAAAACGCATACAGTAGAGCGATAATTTTTACCGTGACCTGGATTACCAATTTTGATAGCAATGTCATCTCTTGCTATTTGCCTAAGAGCTCGTTGTAATTGATAATGACTAACATCTGGGTAATTTTGTTTATACCAAATATTAAGAAAGTCCATGGTTTGATGAAATGCTTGATTAGGGTTTTCATTTTTGATCTTATCAATATCGATGTTACTGTCTAACTTGACCGCCAATTTTGTCCAATCAGTACCAATAGAACTTGCAATGGGATCAAAGTAGTCCCTGACCTCTGTAGTATTAATAATCAGATCAAATTTTAAATTTTAAAACTAGTTTTATTGTTGCTTAATACCTGGTTCTTATAATAGAATAGTAAAACATGAAATCTACATCGATTTTGTGTTAAGATGCCAAGGATTATCGAATGGTACAGAACGAATAGGTTATGATGTTATCTATAATAAATCCTTGCTATAGTTAGCACCTATAATTGCCGTATATACCGGTTGTAGTCATTTGCAATAATGTAATTATATTGAATTAATCTCAGTATTAATACGCTATAGGATTAGCGATTATCCTCGGGATTTGCTGTAGCAACTGCTAGTGTACATAAACATTATATAAGAATTATAGGTAATTATTTAGCATAACTAATTAGGTACGGATTCACTAATTAATAGTAATTACTAATTTGCTGCTGTTATCGGTTGTATTCAATTTTATTCGAATTCTGACCTTTCACTTTTACGACTCAAAGGATCTGAAACTAGCAAATTAAAATACTTTACTGCATGACATGAGTGAACTTGTAAACTTGTTTATTATTAAATAAAACATATATACGCTATGGTATTCACTCTATCTTGCATGAATACTAGAAATTATATTATCTTGTTTTAAAGATTATAGTGTAAAAATTATCAAAACAATTCCCCAAAAATGTGTAGCCTGGCAGTTTTTAATTAATATGCTATGTTTACGATTTTCGCTTATTATTTCTAAATTCAATAGGATTTCTGTTTTTCTTATTTTTTTTGGAGGTTGGTTGTTAGCCTAACGCAGCACAGTCAGGTGAATAATTACTATAGTGTGCTTGCTAGTATTAAGATTAAATGAAGAAGTTGTCATTCTTTTATGGAAAAATTCAAACAATTTCTATCCGATTAACCTCTCATCCCATCGGTAATTCGATAATTGAACTTTATCAGAATAATTGCAGTGGGTAAAAAATGATGGACGTCTTTAAGAACAACATCGAATACCTTAAAAATATCAATTTTGCTATGCGTCTTATTTGCTCTAAGTTTATCTACTTATTCTCTACCATATAATACGTGCATATCTAAACTAGTAAAGACAGAAAAAGCTAAAAATCATCCGAAAGAAAACCTGGTAATTTAAAGTTGTACTTATTCGTGTATCTTTCACTATTGGAATTTAAACAATCCGACTTATAATATAGACTAAATTTAAAGGTAGCGATATTTCGAACAGTCAAACTAGGCAATTGATGAAAATCTACGCTAAGATGGAGAATGGTAGCAGTTTACTAATTACTAAAACAAGATTAAAAATGTTTTACTGTTGCGCATCTTTACCTCGAATTGGAGCAGGATGATACCGAAATTGTTGATTGGCATCAATGTCTTTTTTAAAATGATGTCGGATATTTTTGGATTTATTTCGTACAGCATCAACATCGGTATATCGACGAAGTCGGAGATAAGATTTCTCTAAATTATCATACAGGGTAGCTATTTGAGGATGATTTGAACCCAAAATAGCGGATATTATAGTAATGGCTTTTTGGTCCATAATAGAGGCTTTTTCGAATTGATTTTTATAATAATAGATATTTGCTATGTTTTGATACAAGGCAGCAACATCAGTATGGCTCTCTCCAAATATATCTAATCTAATTTTAAGCGATTTCTCATACATCGAAAGCGCCTCATCAAACATCCCTCGAAGACGATAGACTATACCCATGTTGTAATACGAATCGGCGACACGAGGATGATGATCGCCAAGGATTTGGGTTAAAATTTGCAGTGATTTTTCATACAGCGATAGAGCATTGTCATGCTTTGTTTGGCTTGCACAGATTCTTGCCATATTATTATAGATAGCAGCCACATCAGGATGATTATTGCCGAATGCTTTCAATTTAAGACGAAGTGATTTTTCGTATAAGGAAAAAGCTTCATCAAATTTATGCTGTTTATGATAAATGCTTCCTATATTACTATATGACATAGCAACATCCGGATGGTTATCGCCTAATACATTTAGCCTAATTTTAAGCGCTTTTTCGAACTTGCAGAGAGCATCATCAAATTTGCTCCAGTGAGCAAAGATGTTTCCGATTTTAGTATAGGAATTGGCCACATGGAGATTGTCGTCTTCCGAGTCCTGTAATTTTATTTCAAGGGATTTCGTATAATCACATAATGCTCCATTTTCGTTATGGTTTGATTTCTTGATATCACCTTGAATGTCTAAATATTGAGCTATTCGCACTTGATCTTGTATTTTAACGGCTAATTCTTGCATTTTTTGGCTAAATTCATCAGCTTTCACCAGCTCGCATTGCCTCAAGTAGATATTGGAAATGTGGAGGTAAATCTCGCATTGTAACTGTTGAAGGTCTTTACCTGGGTTAGACACAGTTTGAATTTGATCGAGAGTTTTAATATAGCAAGACAGAGCTTGTTGATGATTGTAGCTGTTATAATATTTTTGGCCCTTTTGGTATAAAGATTGGATTGCCTTAATGACGGTACAACTTACGGATTGATTTGCTGTTTCATCCATCTAGAAAGAGAAGATTGCTTACATCAAGCTTGTGTCGAACATAAATGTTGCATACTGAAATAATACGCATATTATGAAAGATTATTTATTATGACTCCATGCGTGCTATATTATGGTGCTCTAGAGGGTTTAAATTTATGTCTTACTGCATTCTTGATTAAGATTGAGCTAATATTTATCCAGTGCTAGGTTCGATTTCTACACTATACGGTAAAGGTCACTTAAAGGAGTAGTTGGTTATATCATTGAAATGCTTGTTAATTTTTACATAGTTTATGATTCAATAGGTGTATTAAGGTGAAAGTAGTTTGTCTTATGATACTGTATTAATTTTAGGGAAACTATTGAACCTATCCGATTATGAATTCTTAATTTGCAAAGATTAATAAATAGTTTAGCTGTATTTCTAAACCTTTGAAGTACTTTGACCCTATATCAGACTTAAATTCATCTTACATACCTCCCTAACCCTAACTCTTGCTTCGCTTACCGTAAATTTATGATCAACTTTAATAATCTAATCAGCTTTGAACTATATCTCAAGATTGCTTAAGAGTAGTTCCTTGTAACATTAGCGAGATTAAATAACTTAAATAGCTGTTGACATTAATATAGTAGATCCTATATAAGAAGAGATATCTCATTTATTGTGATGATTAAAATAGTGTTGTCGACTAAAAGTATATAAACAATGTAATTAGTTGTTATCTATGCTGTATTTGGAAAGATAGACGATTATATAGGAACCATGGTGTTAGTAGAAGCTCCTATTGTATCAATTAGGAAGCTATAGTAACTTATAAGAGGACAGATGATGATTGCCAGCTGTGCATAAAGCGAGGTCTTTCTGTTAATAGTAAGTTCTTATCCTCCGTTAACATTAGACTTCCAGTAAATTGTTAAATAGCTATTATTATCCACCGATGTCTTCTTTGGATTTGAATTTTATTATATTCCTATACTGTTGTATCCTAACAGGAATGTTGGAATTATAGTTTCCCATTTGGTATAAAATAATACTACGTGTGTATAGTACCGCTATTACAGTAATTTTGGATTAAATTAATAATTAGTCAAGTTATTTTCAACATTTACGCGCAATTCCAAAATTGTTTAGTAATATTGGAACTCCAGAAAGTTTTGATGGTTCATTATACTATTTCATTAGTATATTGTAGAATAGTTTATATGGATACACCTACCACTGACATTTTACCAATTTTGGGTGATTTATTTATCAATCAGGTCGGTTTTAGGTTTCTACAGTAAGATCGATTGCTCGTATTTGCATTCCTAACAATTTTGAGGCGCAGTATGATTTTGGCTTTGCAAAAAGTAATTTATTACATGTGCCACTGATACTTGATTGCTTCTTATTACGAATCTACTTTGAGCTAAAGGTAGTCTCATCCTACTTTTATTTTATTAAGTTCAGAGAATTTATTAATCTCATGAGTCATCGCTTTATATAGCGTTAATGAATCTTAAATAAGAAGAACAGTAATGTTCACTGTCCCTGCTTCGTTATTTAGGGTATTTAATTAATTAAATTAATTTCAATATTCATATTGAAAAGACTACTTGGTTGTACTAGTATCCTTGTCATCCTTTTCGTACCATACCCTGTAACTATTTACTGTATATTGCCATAATTTCGATACATATAGCCACTATCGCTATTGTATTGATTTTTGATAGTTCGCTAATCAAGCCATTTAAGTATCTATCTCGAACAGTTCGCTTAATAATTATAGTATTTCTAACAGTTTGAGAAGCTCTATAACTACTGTTCTGACAAAGTAAACGGTAGTTTAGCTATATAATCGTACTTTTATTAATTTAGAGAATTTTAAATTCAATTAGCTTTATTCGTAAAGATTAATACACTATAGTGATAATTTTGTTATACTTTATTCTAGACTTTAAGTTTTCTTATTCTACCTCTCTTTCATTGAATTCTGGCGCCGGCAATGATCAATTAGATGAATTTCCGTTTTGAGTTGCCAAGGCTACTTAAAATATTTAAGTAATATCCTTAATAACTTTTCTAGATACCGTATAATTTCACATATGCTCAAAAGAATATAGGAAATATTACATATTTCCACTGAGTCATTAATTTAGAATAATTAGAGTATTAATCAGGACAGTTGCAATTTTAAAGACTGCCGAACTGTTACTGTATTTGTCTCGCTGAATTTAGATTTATCGACGAATTTTTTAAAGATTTTGACTTGGCGTTGGCTCAAGATTATACTGTATAATCTATGTATTACTACTGCTTCGCTGATTTAGGGTCATTATTGATAAAATTTGCTTTAATTCTTATATTGTATTTGAACAGGTATCAAGAAGCGAAACTATTTAGTAGGATAGTCTCCTTGTCTATTGTTTATAATGCTGATTAAAATATTACGCTATCGTCAAGCGATATTCATATAAATTTAAAACGATGAAAGGTCAAATTCTGATGAAAATAAAATAAAATAAAGGATTTAAAGCTAAAACTGAAGCTAGCTGAACCTAAATTTCTTATTCAGTTTAAATTATACTAGATCAATTATCATTTAAGTACTATTCATAGGATTAATATCAATTAATAATAAAGTATATAAAATGGAATTATAGCTACAATTTGCAGTTTTACTAGTATTATTGAAACTTACATCCAGTCATGCGTATAATTTTAGCTGGCGCTGATCACCATTAAACACTACTTCAAATTGGATATGAAATTAATAAAATATTTAGGTTCGGATGAAATAAAAATTTTAACAGCAATTTGACCCACATTCAGCTAATAGTTAATTGTTTATTCCGGGAATATGAGTAATTCTGTCAAAGATTACTTCTTCAAATTTGAAAATTTATGTCGCTTTCCAGAGTATTTAAAATTAGCTGAAATGGGAATTACTTGGTTAAATGTTAGAAATCAGATCTGACGAAAAATGGCTTATACTCCTAGAATTCTGGAAGAGTAGACACTAGATTAATGTAAAAGTTATCATTGCCTTGCAAAATTAAATACTGCTAGCGGATACTATTAGGATAAAGTCGTAAATCCGGAAAATCTATGACATTTTAACTCAGAGTATATCACGTTTGGGGTGTTATCACAATCATTAATAATTCAACAGAGTAGGAGTCATTCTTTTACAATTTTAAGTTTATATACCCTAAGCTTGTGAGTGTTCAAACCCAATATAGTTACTTCTTATCATAACGATGGCTAGGATTAAGATACTTTTTATTAATCATCAGGATACGATTAGAAATGATTTATATGAAGGATGAAATAAATCAAACTATAAAAAAATAACAGAATAAACACTGCTTAAAGTAGATTAAGATTTGTTTAGAAATTATTTTGATGTATAGTGTACAGAATAAGCTATACTTTTTGATTACGTTGTCTGTGAAGTTTTAAACTCAGATTTACAGTATTAGTACTTGAATGTATGCCTATTAGATAGAAGGTAAAGTCAAAACAAGAAGTATACTTAACATCAAGACTTATTAGTGATATTTTACAGTAGTTGTGTATGCATATATGACGGAAATAAAAGATAGAAGAAGTAAAATTAATTAAATGATCTTGTTTACACTTAATTATACTTACTTCAAGGTTAGTCATAAGGGTACAGATTATGGAATGAGCTACAAAATCTAGCTATACTTTATGTGAAATTCTAATGGTGGAGGTTTAACGATAATAAATAAGATCAACGACTGTAATGATACTGCTATAAATAGATTATGCTGATTTCGAGATTATTCGCAATAGTGCAGAAAATAATATGAGTTGATGATTTCTGTCATATTTTTAGTGAAATATTTTTAGAAGAGATTTTACAGTACTAGTGGTTGCATATGGGACCGATATAAAAGGGTAACGTAAATCAAAATAAAGAAAAAGTTGTATTTTCGCGTATGTGAAGAACATTTTATGACTGCTCAAAGTATAGAATGAGCCATAATAGTAAGCGTAGCTGTGGTTTATACAAAATCTCGACCAAGTTTTTATAGTATTTTATGCTGACACGAAATAGTAAAAAAAGTCGAAATAAAAAATGTGTATGTTTAAACTTAGACTTTTGCATATTGATACAGCTTATAAAATATACCATAGATTGAGTCTGCTTTCTACGAAATTTGGGCAAAGATTCTAAAGTATTATCATTTTCATAAATATAATGAACTGATAAAATTAGGTAGAAAATATTACGGCTTAAGCGATGTCAATTATAAGAAGATTTTTAATGAATTTATAGTCAATTTTGTATTGTAGCTAAATGCTTTCGTGAAGAGAGTTGAAAAAATTTGGTTGCAGACTATTTCTAAATTTAAAGAGTTTAAAATTACTCCAAAATCATTCCTAATATCATTTAGTGATATTAGTAACACACCTGATTATAAACCTATTTTGGTTTGTAATTTCTTTTAGAAAAAGATCTCCATCGCAGACTGTTTTCTATATAGTCAACTGCTATATAGATTCCTGCTTATGATATTCCGATTCAAAATAACGAAGTTTTCCTTTTAATAGCCGCAGCAATATTGATTAGCCCAAATTCCCTAATGGATAAATCGATATAGATAAATTGGCTTGGAATTAGAGTGTGAAAAATGAAGCGATTTTCTCTTTTAATCGTTTTTTTACAACTATCATTGAATGATGAAAACGTGTAATAATTGCTAAAATGTCATTTATACCGTTAATTAATGTGAAAGTTGCGTAACTGCATGTATGGATTATTAATTACTTCATATATTGTCGAGGTTCAATTATCTAATGCAGGTATTGTGTCTTTTTGTACTTTAGAATATAAATTATAAAATAACTGTACCAAAGAGTTGTTCTAAATCCGTCGACTATTGAATAGACTCAAGAAATTAATGCTATTAATGCATTGATCATGTAGAGTCTTTAAAATGCTTTATTCTTTCATTTAGAAGCCTATTTGATCTATTTCTAAGGCTAGTATTGATTAAAATACATTAATTTAAAAATACTGTTAGCAAGAAAGTATTGTTATTTAAACAATAATTGACGTCGAATAATTACTTATAAAATGCCCTTTTGAAGACATTACTTTCACAATCTGCTATATTAAGCATTGAATTATTCATGATTTATGATGATGATGGTCGTTGTTATATCCACTTAAAATGACGGTAGTATTCGCTCTTATACTAATATTATAAATATTAGTATTAATGTACCATAAATAATACTAATCTATGTAGGCATGCATACATACTAATATAATACTAGCTAACTAACTAGTTGAAGGGAAACTTTTTTGGAGTGGTCTGTCCTGATAGTGCAATGACAAATAGTACACTGACAATAAGCTGAGCAAAATGTCTCTCGATCACCGTACTCAATATTCAACAAAGTTATACCGACACAGATGATGATTTTTTGCGTTGTTATCTTGTGAAACAGCCTAGACTCTTGTTCGATATGCTATCTCACGTTACGAACATTTCTATATGTTTAACGGCTGTGGTAGATAGTAGTAATCCATGAATGTTATTCCTCGTCAATGTTATAGATGTGTTCTGACAGCTTCCGGGTGATAGAAACTGGTAGCTGATCAATATATATGTATGACAATATGCACGCGGCTCATATCGAATATAAAGCCGATCCGATACCAGATATTCTTCAAAATTAAACTGCATATCGTATGATGGAAGTATTGAAGAAATATAATACTCGCGTTCTGCTCGGCTTTCTTTGCTTACATATTTCTCGTATATTACATGATAATCTATCATTAAATTGATCATTATTTCTTTCATATTGCTATTCAAATGAAATTGATGAAGTATACAATTAATTAAGTTTCTTGATATTATTTCTTGACCGAGTGGCTTTTTCATATTTGAATCGTATATTACAACTATCAGCTGGACAGTTTTTTAATAATATTACATTTCATAGTAAGCTTACTAGCCAAGTAACATCAGTTATAACGATTGATTGATTAATTAGCGCTTGATAAAATAATAAAGTATTCTAACATAGATATTAGATCATCGTCACTTTCGTATAATGCATATTGTTCAGCTAATTGTTTTATTTCTTGTATTGTCATCATTTTATTAAGTTTATTAGTTCTGTCTTGGGTAATTAGTGATGTTGTTGAAGACCTTACTTGACTAGCAGGTATATGCAATATTGCAGCCATCATACAGCCATCGAATAGGAATACAACCTTACAAATGCGATTTTGATTCAATAAATTATTCAATAATGCGATTTAGATGATAACAACACAGTTTACGTTGAGTATCTGTAGAAGTAGTGTTATCTTCTCCATTGTAATTAAAATTAATTGTAGAAGAATAAATATCATTCTTATAGGAAGGTATTTGAGCTATTCTTCTTCTAATTCACAAAATCGACTGTTTCGTTCCTCTTCACTTTCGATACAATCTGCATGAGTACCGACTAAAATGAAGATAGCTGATCGATATTTTACTGGATCGTCCTTGATAGTTATCAGGATCTTGGTCAGTATTACTACGAGTAATAGCAGTGAACCATTCTTGTATAGACTGTGAGTATGCCATCTTCCTTATTGAGTCATTTTTGTATTAAAAGCTTGATTAATATTTTGAATTATAACAAATAGAAGAATATATATACAGTTATTACCAGACGTGAATAAAGTAGCAGGATAGATGGGATAACCGCGGAAATCTACTATTTTAGCATACCGAATATGTTGTATATAAAAGATTGTTCAATTTTTACTAAGCAAATATTTTGATAGTTGATGACTTCCCGATAAGTGGAGGACCAATGAATCTAACTTGTGTTAAATTATTATGCGTAAGTTGTTTCTGTTCGATTTTAAATGTCTGAATGCAGTAGTTTTCAATCAATAACGCAAAGAGCGTTGTAATTTTGAATGATAATGACGATAATTGATTAAAGGAATAAAAGACTATTTTAAACTGATTAAAGTCTGAAATTAAAATAAGTCGGAGTTGGGGATTTTCAATTTACCTTTTTAATCATGTTGTAAAATCAGGTGTTTTACTTGTAGAAAAATAAGTAATAGAATAACATATTATGATTTTGAATTACTGATCGATTTATACTAGAAAAAGTAGTGTACTGTACTCATAAATTATGAGTTACAATGTATTAAATCTTTATTATGGACAGCTAACTAATTTATCTTACTCGTCGCTAATGGATGGCGCACATTCTATGTTTGATGACTTTAACGATTGCGTTGAATTGAGAGCCTTGTGTAATAAAGATTAACACAGTCTATAGTACTGTACATAATATGCAAACTGGTATAATACAGACGTAGAAAATACCTGAGATGGATCAATCGCATCTCAAATAATTTAAGGCGCAATCTTTGGTGCAATCAATTGCTTCCAAGCCTTTTCTATAGTTTAATTAGTGTCGATAAGTCTATCATATCGTAAACCACTAATCTTGAAATTTGAAGGAATATATAATAGATTGCTTTTGAACGAGAAGATATACAAATTAAATTAGTATTATAGTATACCCTGTACTGCTAGTGATTGATCGTATCTATTTTGATGTAGTTTACTGCGAAAAATGATTGATTTATGTTGGATAACTGCTGCATCGTCATGTCGATGTTGTTGGCTACAGCAGTTGAGCATACAATCGTACAAGATAGCGATGTTGGAATGATTTTCTCCTAGCAGATTAACTAAAATAGTAATTGCTGCTTAATATGTAGAGTAGAGATAGCCTGATCATAATATGTATCGGTCACTTTTTGATTTAGATCAGCTAAGTGTTGGTGATTCTTTCCAACTAATCGCAGTTGAATTTTAAGAGATATTTCATATCGAGAAAGAGCATCCATGTATCTACAGTATTTTCTATAAGCGCTACCCAAGCTGTTCTATAGCATAGCTATATCGAAATGAAAGTCGTCAAGAACTGATAATTTAATTTCCGAAGATTTCTGATACAGTTGTAGAGCATCGTTGTGCTTGCCTTAATAGTTCTAAAAACTTCCTGCATGGTGGTTATCCATCATCTAGTATTGACTTTAGGCAAATCTCTATTCTTAGTCACCCAACTGTATCCAATAGAGCTGTGGTTCTCATCGACTATGAGATGCATCACTACACTATGGCCTACTCCTTTATTGGAGTAGGCCACCGCATAGCCCATGAGGAATCCGTCGATACAGCTAAAATGTCAGGCAACGACTCAAGATAAAACTCTTCACTCTAAGCCTAAATCCAAGACAGTCCTTCTCCAATCAATTTGGCATCGCCATTTTTGGATGTACAATTGGTTGTAGTGTCGTTGCTAGACGACGTGATTGAACCATCCATCCAGTCGTCCATGGTTAAGCATTGCATAATGCATATTGCATAATGCATACTGTAGTACAGTACTGAATACTGTAGACTGTACTGTACTGTAAGACGTACTGTACGTTGATGGCGGTAAACGTGCGTTCAAACGTTGATCTGCAACAACGTTGACAGCTCCCATTCTGGCCAAGTTTGTTCTTGTTCTCGACCATGCACTCTAACCATCGGCCCACCAATTTGGCATGCCAATTTTTTGTTGTACAATTGCTTGTAGTGTAGTTTGCTTGACGACATTATTCAAGCATGCAGTCCTGTATGCAATGGTTAGCCATTGCATGCTGTACAGTGTACAGTACAGTAGTACTGTACAGTAGTACTGTACAGTAAACTACTGTACAGTACACTACAGCATACTGTACTGTAGACTGTAGACTGTAGACTGGACGTGCTGGACGGATCCCATACAGTACTGTACGACCGACGTACGCTGATGCCGATGAACGTGCGTTCAAACGCTGACCTGCACAACGTTGACGGCTCCCATTGTGGCCAAGGTTGTTATTGTTCTGGACATCGTAGACTAACCATCGGCCCATTGGGCCCGAAGTCAATTTTTCAACCTTGCCTTGGCTATCTCCTCCGCTTGGATTGTAACCATCGGCCCACTGGGCCCGAAGTCATTTTTGCAAACTCTTGTTGGTGTTTACTCGTTGGCATCGATTATTGCAATTTTTGGACTTCAAGTTACTTCTTCCAACTCAAGTAATAGCGATATGGCGTTAAAAGCAGTCTGTTGTTTACAAGGACCTGTTGTCAGTGGTACTATCTTTTTCCAACAAGAGGTAAGGATTGCATAATGGAGAGGCAGCCAAGATGGGCTGCAAGGTGTGTGTGCCTTGTTGTTGACCGCCACATCAGCATGGTGTTGCAGCCTCGTTTCTTCTTCATATCCGCATTGCAATAAACGATCTAGAAATGCTCTATCTGGTTCTACCATTGATTTTTTCTTCAAACACATCCAACGTTGCTCATTTCTACCCCTTTTTCCAACAAGTTTACATGTGCTGATATTGCAAAAATATCAGTACTACAGTCCTTGATCTCTTTGTGCCAGTGCCAATTTTTTCTGTCGTCCTCATCTTGTTTGGACTTCATTTTCCCAATGGCTTGGACTCTTGCTACCGCCGTGCTAAGATACTAGCGGATGCCGTAAAAACAAATAACATCTCATGTTACTGTCTTGATAACATGCAAGAAAAGTACAGTACAACTCTTCACTTGTCTACAGGCTATTGGCACCCTACCTCTTTTCTATTTTGACCCCTTTCAAGTGTGCTCGATCTGCACAGCACAAAACAAGGCACAACTTGCAAAGTAATCAAGCACTCGTACCGATCAGATCCATTTCACACCGACTTCTTTTCCCTTCTTTCACCATTCCACTCATCGTCCAACAACTTCTTGCGATGCTCTTATACGTCGTGTACTATCAAAACGATTCCACCCAAATGGGTGATCCGTCTATGTACAATACTAAACTTTCAACACTATACACAAAACTTCATTTCCGCCACAAAAGAGCCCAAAAGTCCCAGTGCTAATAATAATACCATGATAAGCCTCCACAGTAGTATACATTGGCGGGCTTTAGCTTTACCTTCATGTCTAATCAAATTATGTTCGGATAAACATGCTTCACTTTTTTGATATCACTCTCTTACCTACGCCAACAGTATTCATGGTTGACATGATTTAAAACACTTTCTCAATGATTGTAGAATGAATTGTCATTTTTATGCCATATTTCATAATTAGAGCGGCACAGGGCCAATCCGCATCTCTGGTGAAGTCAAAGGTTTAGCACCTGGAAAGCATGGCTTCCACGTTCATGAATTTGGCGATAACACGCAAGGTAAAATACATAGCTCCTATCAGTCTCGTCGTCCAATGATTAACCCACATTGACAACGATGGCTGAGAAAATAGATTAGTTTCAAGTCGCGGTCAAGTATACTAGTAGCTTTAGCTTGGGTTATGTTAGGCTGTTTGTGATATTCACCAAGGGTCCAAGTCATGTAATATTTTGAACCAAAATTGTTACATCAAGGTTGTACAAGTGCCGGAGGTCATTATAACCCTCATAAAAAGGTACATGGTGCGCCAGGGGATGAAATCAGGTTAGTTTATGCAAAAGTATGGACAACATACAAGGCTGACTTTGCTATAATTATGTTATGGTGAATACAATTGAATATCACCATCTTGACATTATTGTAAATCTATTTTCATGGGATAGCATTGTTGACTTACTCATGACTAACTCACAAGACATTTCATATCAATAGACATGTTGGTGATCTCGGCAACATCGAAGCTAATGAACAAGGAGTAGCAAGTATTAATATGACTGATAGAATGGTGACATTAACTGGACCATATTCATGCATCGGCAGAACTATTGTTGTAAGTGGATGGCGCACATCGTTGATCAACTATCTTTATTATCGTATCATCGGAGATTGTCAATCACTAACAAAATGCTCTTTCTCTTTTTTTCACAAAACAACCGATTAGGTCCACGAAGGTGTCGACGATTTAGGAAAAGGTGGTCATGAATTGAGTTTAACTACGGGTAACGCTGGTGCTCGTGTTGCTTGTGGAGTTATTGGTATTACCAAATGTTAACAACGTGCTAGTTCAAAGCTACATGCCAACTGTTGAACAACAGTTGGCATCCATAGCAAGGCTTGTAATAAAAATTCTGCACCACCTCTGTGACCGCTTGATAGTCACATTGATTCGATTTTAATCTCGTCAATACTTGTAGAGCACTAATTACCTGTAGCTAGAAAAAGCTGACTATTAATTACCGATTCTTGTTGTTAACAACAGTAAGTTACGGCTTGAAGGCTCATTTTGTCCTATAAACCCAAATGATAGTTTGTATGCTAGGTGTCTCACTGGTTTACGTGGTGCATCGCTGTATTATTAATAGTGCTGTTTATCAGACGTACCAAATTATCTGCTATTAATTAATAAAGACATTTTGTGAAATTTTTCCTACTGTATTGAGCCTATTTGAACAGATAGTTTGCTATCATTGGAGAATACGTAAGTCACTACATACTTTGGTTGAAGTTTTGCTCCGGATATTCAATCAGCATGCATTATATCCGCTAGTACGATCCAAAATGCAATAGCGTATGATGTGACTCGAGAACAGCGTTAAAACCACAGCAACGAGTCCTACTAACTAATCTGGAAATGACGGTTTATAGTCAACTAGACTAATAACGGGATAACAACATAATCCAAGTTTTCGCCTCATTAGGGAGAAAAGATAGGTTCATTTCATCCACTTCAAGAAAATTTAGTAAAGTTAAAAAGGTAAAAATGGAACATCGAAACAAGTAATGTAAATGCTAGGCGTTAATAACTTCCAAGCAATGATACATTTGCAGTATGAATTCAGTGTATCGCAATAGCAATTTTAATCGAATACTACAGGAGATACGCAAAATACCCTTTACTGCATAATCCAATGAAGTAGCCAAAGTAATAAATAAACAAAAACAACAGTAACAATCTAATGTATTAAAAGTTATCAATAAAATCTTACGCGATTACTGTATGCGCGTGGGTAGAACGGCAAGAGGACAATTTCAATGTCAACATGATCGAATACTTCCATGCTATGCGAATAATACATCATTACTAAAATCATAAACAAGTTACGCAGTAGGCATTTTACAAGACTTAATTATTCAGTTTCATTAATCTTAAAAGCAAAAACGTTGTAAATCGTTCTCAACGGATCGAAAACAATCATTTGCAGTAACCATGCAATTATAGAAAGTGCGTATACGTCGTACATGAGATACAATACTGGACAAATTATGCCTAGGAATAATCAACATCATGGCACGCCATGTAGAGTGAGATACAACAGTGAATCTCCATTCATTGATGTTATGAAAGAGCAAAACTAACTACATGAATAAAAAGAGAGAATCGGCTATCATATGCGATCTTTTGGTTATCTACTTTTTAACTAATTACAATATGCTTAGGTACTAATCATCATGCAAACTAGAACAGAGTAATGTGTAAGCGGTGTTCTATTCACTCCAACACTGGATTCAGAATACTGTATTAAAACAGACATATTCTTGTTGACATGATTTAGGAAGATGCTTTACATTAAAAACTTGCAAGATTTGTCTCAACGTTTTCATTCATCAGTTTTACGTTCTCATTGTGGTACGGCTTATTAATGGCATTTTCCGGTACTCTACCAATTCACATCTCCAGAAAATGGGATACATCTTTACAATAATACTCAACTTCATTGGGCAAATCCATTTTATCAATTCTTGCATTGAACAATATCTACGCAAGTTACTTGCACCACAATTCAATAGATTTGCTAGACCAGCAGCTAATAGCCGTTCTATAAGGCACACTAAGCGTTTACATGTACCGTATACAATGCTCGTGTAAAATTGCTAACAGCCACAGTCTAATATAATTAATACCTTAATGTTTTAACAGTACCAAATACGGCAGATAACCTGATTGGTTTGGTACAAAATAAGATACGTTAGCTTGCATAGTAAACATGCTCAGCACAAAATGATAAAGGCTCGATTGCGCATCCCAGCTATAAGTACAATGTAATTAATCTCTTTTATCATGTGCATTTTAAATACTTGATTGGTTCAACATAAAAAATTTACATTTGGTCAGCAACTACCTGACATATTTTACAGATTAATGATGCAAAATTAAAAATGTTTCGATGCCAATAATGATCAATTTAGTAATTATTCCGTCATCTAAAGCCTAAATGGGTAACAATATTATCTCAGTTTATTACCTATCATTTCTATCGTCCCATCTACTAGCCCTACTACGTCGATCTCTTTTGCTATTATGAAAATTATCGTTATGACGTCTTTCTCTTTTACTACGACTTCCAAAATTTCTATCATCTTTCCTATCATGTATACTATCTTCGTTACGATCGTCTCGGTAACGTTTCCTATTATCATGGTAACGATCCATTCTACGGTTGTCCGAATTGTCACTACTTTCTTCTGGTCGTTCTTGTATTGCTTGATTAACATTATTCTTAATATTATTACTACCACTAACGGTATTCCTATTCATTCTATTGTCATTACTACTTCCAAGTAATGGTGGATAAGGATGTGAAGAGGAAGGGCCAAAATCTCCTCTAGGTCTTGCAGCCATAAGCGGTTGAGGAGGATTCCCTTGCAGGTCCATTGGAGGTATACTACTGGTAATGCTAGGCGGGTTAAAAGAAGGGAAATTTATTCCCATAGGATGACCTGGTCCCGGATGTATCGTTGGTGGTACTCCCATGGGTGGTGGAGCACGAAATTGTATTGGAGGAGGCGGAGGAGCATTAAATCCGGCAGGAATTCCACCTTGTGGCCTTTGAACCATTAATCCTGTAGCATCAGGAATATTACTTTTCTCATTACTTTCAGTATCAATACTATTAATACCATTGCTATTCATGTCAACATTATTGGTATTATTATTGCCGCGCTGTAAAACTGGAATCCTCGATGCTGTCATACTTTCTGCATCATTATTGATATTTGGATAATATTCGTTAGTAGAGCCCATTTCGTTAACTGCAGAGGCATTCATACTAACGGCATCATCAACTGTTGTATTCAAAATAACAATAATAGAAATATGTTATTCACCAGCCAAACATGCATCAACAGTTCAAGTGGTTCAATAGCGAAAGCAGTCCTAATTAGTACAATAAAAATGTTCTATTTATCTCTTATTCATTCGTAAATGTAAAAACCTTTCTCTGGTACGATTGTTCCAGGCGGTAAAGTCTGGCGATCTACAAATCCACCCTCTTCTAACATTTCCACATTGACAGACTTGTCTTTTAAAGCTGACCAGGGTATATATGATACTCCAAGTTCAACATTCCAACAATCTTTGAAACGACCTTTAATTCCCTTACCAGGCGCCCAAGCGACTTTGCAATTACTATTTTGAATTCGCAAACTTTGAAGATTTCTTACAGCTAGAACAGCACCCTCTCGCGACTGCATGCAAACAAAAGCGCACCCTCGAGGCGGTATTAACTACAATCGAAGTGAAATTGCTGGTGTAAGCTTTATTATTTACAATTCAAGTTTAGTGTTTGAATAACGAACTTGATAAAATACGTACGTCAATAGATTTTATAGAGCCAAATTGCTCAAAGGCCTCTGATATTCTATCCTGACCAACTGACCGTGGCAGATGCCCAACGAAAATAGTTCTACTACATACTATAATCAATAACAGCATCAATGTAAAATATAACTTCAATTATAGTACATACTACACAAATAATTCAATTAATGTTATAATTACCAGTAATTTTATCTGGTTGAGATGGTGGTATAACATCAGGATCATCCGTTGAATATGAGCTCCCAGTTTGAGCCCTGCCTGATGATTTATCTTGCTCATATGTATTAATGTTAGGTTCTCTAGGTGTACTATCGGTATTTGATGCATTAGCAAGGATTTGATGATACTGATTTAAAATTTCTGCTGGGTCAATTATATCCATTTTACTATGAAATTTACAAGTAGATACGGAAAAAAGATATAAATAGAAATATTTTAAACTGAAAACTCACAAAAAAAGTAATTAGAAATCAATCGTTACCTTGTAGTAGTAGCTGCCTCAGATTGCCGTCTACTTTCTTCTTCAGCCAGGCGTTGCTTTTGTTCTGCTATTCTTGCAGCGTCATCTTCATCATCACCGTAATCGAAGTCGTCAAGAAGATTCTGATAAAAATATGACAACACGTTATTTAAATGTAATAGGTCTCAGTTCTCAATCTATTGTTGTTATCGATTACAGTTTTTATTTATACTATATTACAGTGACAATTTTACGTTGTAACTTATACCCAATTTTGAATATCAGATTAGTATCATTATAACAAATACTCCCATCCATCTAAATAGATACAATCAACAGTACAGTATGGTGGCTATTCACGCTAGGCTTACGTTTAATATGTGCGTATATACATTTATATAAATACAAGAAGAAAGGATATTGTCCCTATTTAATTAACCCTATTCAATTAGTCTTAAAAGAAATGCTACTTGAGAAACCAACAAATTTGATACATTTATTACCAATTTATGTCATTAAAAGTTTACCTCTCGATTGTAAGATTTAGATTTGGACGCCAAAGTTGCAGCGCCAGCTCTTTTCAACATGTCCTTTAAAACTGAATTATCCAAAGATTGAATATTTTTAAAAACATTTTGCTTTGAAGCAACTGAAGGGGTAGTGTTATCGCCACGAGCAGTTATACTTGTTTCTGCGGATATTTTCATGGAATCTTTAGTAATTTCTAAGACACGGAAAAAGTACATAATTATATTTTCAAGAACAGCTTACAAAGTACATATATTTAATAGTCGTTAATATTTTCAAGTTACCTTCGCCCAATCCCATAGTTAATAACGGTTGTGTAATATCCTCTTTGTAGATGCCGTTCTCAGTCCAAAGTTTTAGTACTCTGACAATTTTACTCTATATTGCAAAATGTTGTAATTATATCACTAACAGCTATAACTGCACAACTTGGATAGGTTATCACACCAATGAATTTATTTATTAGCTAAAAAGCTGTACTATATGTGAAGTGTAACGAATTGATTATTCTGATATCATGCCAATACTAACCTTGTCATCATTACGACATTTATATAAATTTTCAAAGGTCTCGTTTATATTTTTACTGAATCTAGGAGCGTACATGTCCTTTTCGTCACCATACTACAAATAGAAAAATCCCATAGAAATGCATTAACAAATATTGCCATATCTTCTAATGGCATTCATTTCAATTTTTATACGAGTATGTATGCATACTTGAATAGTAGAAAATTACCGTTCATTTAGAATATACCATAGGCAAAAAGTAAATTTTAGAATCTTGGCAAGTTATTATTTTATACTGACAGCGTTTAAAATAAAGGGTTATAAGATTACCTGATATTTAGATTGGCGGATTATTGAATCCATAATATACAAGGCTGGCAACTTATATTCAGGACCACACTGAAATTATAAGTTATAGAATCATAAGCGTACAATAAGATCGTAAAAAGAATCCATTGCGAGAACTTATATTCGGTAAGTCTGAATGAATTTCCAACTTCCAACAAAAATTATAACGTCATTTAACAATCTTAGCTCGAACTACAATCTGCGTTTATGATAAGTATTACAACTTTAAAACTTCTCTTTAGTCTATATAAAAAGCTTTATTTGATTGAAATTTTTTCTTGAATACAATATGAACTGGGCAAAGATAATATCTCTATCAATGTACAACACCGGAATGATGAGATGCAGTTATTTTGTTGCAGTCAAAGTATCTTACCTTATGAATAAACTTTTCCAGATTCATTACAACATGCTTGTAGAACTAGGTAGAAATGTAAACAACTCAATAAAGTTAACAACAGCTTTAACTAGCATGTCAATATGTACACAAATACTTATAAAATGGTTACACTATATCATTCATGAATTTATTCACTGTACAACGTAAGACATTTAGGGTATTATCAACTGTGAATAAATTTATAGAATGCGCAGCTTGTGTTTTAACATCTGCAAGACATTATGGAGTATCTTCTCGCCAATTTACTACAGCAATGGAGGAATTTTACTTTTCTAGAGTCGGTAATGTCTTTTTAAGCCTTGATATTTAAGGAAATTGGCTATAAATAGCGCGAGTTGCACTGCTTAGGGGTGCAAATTAATATATCACGACATGCTATTTACAGTAATCGAGCCAGTAGTACATGTAGTACATGTTAGAAGATGAAGTCATAGGCAGAGCCTGTAAAGAAATTATTGAATAACAGATCATATCGTGCTAGGTCAAACTTACTCGCATAGCTCTCATTGCCGCCTTGGTCACACTGTGTACCTTACTACGAGACAGAGGTAACTTGGTCTGGTATACACTTCGCAGCTAGAAAAAAGTGAAAAGTTTAACAAAACATGAAATTAGTTGCCAACACATCACTGTACTTAACCCTTAAAGAGCATTGATTGATTAAACGATATTCAATCATTCCACGCTGTATCTACATTACTACTGCAAATAGTCGAATCGGTCCATTATAATGAATTGTCCAAAAATTTGTAAATCAGTTTTCAGTTGTACAGATACAAACAGAACAGAATAGTATAATTAACTTTCGTACTTGATGATTGTTTCCATACTTCATAATTTAATATAAGATGAGTGACATGAATTTAACATTATCACTACTATCGACACGTGTTATGATATATGTATAAAGTAGACCTGCTGTCAACTTTTAATTTCCCACCCAAAACCGGTATCAATGAGAGCAATATAGCTCGCTCTATTCAGTCAAGAAATACCGATTCATCATTACTGTACATTAGAGTCGAGTTTTGTCATTTAGTTCATTTAAATCCTACGCCAACACTGACATGTGACAAGATGTAGTAAATTTACTTTCAATTGTCAATTTCTTACGCAATAGCCAAGCATCAATGCAAGCAATGCAGCCCTAGAAAATTCTCACGATACATTTTTCAGCGTTATATAGCCACTAATGAGTCACTAGCAACGTTATTAGTTTACAGTTACAGTAGTACCATATAGGGTTAAGAGAAAGCGTATGATTATCGCAGAAAAACATGTCTATAACGAGAAGTAGATAGCGAGATCGAATTAGATTGAATGGTTACAGTAAGGCAACATAAGCTTACTATTGTAGGCTTATTGGATGAAACTTTGTGGTGGCCTATCTAGCGTTCTTCTATTTCAGGAAATGGAAATGGACAGAATTCTGCATTCAATCTGCGTTTAACTTGACTCCAAATGCAACAGTTGACGTACGCAAGTAGAGTTTTGTGCTATGATGGGTAAACATTCAGTACTGTTTTCTTCTTCATAGCGTAATTAAACGGTAAAGATTGAATAGCTGTGGGTAATTTGAGGATGATCGACACTTTCCTTGCTCTCACTTTGAAGTATGAACTATCAGAAAGCCGTCAAAGTGACTTAGCCTAGTCAGCTAGCGTAAGTCGATATGACCAAGACCCTATGGGAAGGAGAGATTTTCGTCGTTTTATCATTGCATGGTGCGCTATACATTAACACCTATAGTCGATTGCAAGACATCGGCCCAATTTTCAAGTAAATTTGTTGCGATCTATCTTATCATGGATCAATTACTGATCTATGCGCTATTTCAAACTAGTCATGCTATAAATATGTAGCAATAACGACGGAAACCTTGGCAAATCTTCTAGCAGAATTTCCTTTACCCGGCCTAACCAAGGATGATGGCTAAACAGTAGGCAATACTCTTCAGACTACTAACTAAGAAACTGTCATCGTCGATCATCGCCTCCTGAAGAGAACTATATTACATAGCTACGATCGTTGAAGAAATGCTGTGCTGGGCTGATCAATCTAGACTTGATTTTGATGTCATCCTTGTTTGCTTTTTTGACATTTAGATGGCGATCTTGATTTGTATCAAGTTCAAATTACGTGACTGCGACATGACGATTGGATTGACTTGGCTAAGCCTATCCAAAACCCATACTGGCATTCTATAGTTGATCACAGAACCCAACTAGTTGTATGTGCAATCCCTTGACTAAATAAAGACCCTAAGAAATGGTTGAACAAACTCTAACAAAGTCTGTATAATCCTCGATGACGATTGCCTCCTCAAAATAGCCAGTTTTGATGGACTTTTTGGATAGGACCTGAAGTGTGGCATGATCGAGTAGAGTACAAGCTCCAGGTGGACAGCGATCGTCCGTCATTCCCACATACAAACTGACTAGAGCAATACAGCTGAATGGTGTATAGTACTGTCAACAGTCAACAACATGAGCTGCTGCCAACGGCTTCCACAGCGAAAATGGATTGGCAAGAAAAATGCAAGATGAATGTATATGCCATTTACTGAAAAGATGAGAGCAAGATTGGAATACTTTACAGTTGTCCATGCTATCTTTTACTGTAATATTCATTCATTTGAAGTGAGCTAGCGTAGCATAGTGTACTTTTGATGTGTGTTGTCGATTGGAATACTAGACGTAGGGCTGGAGAAGGTACCTGATAGCGACGTGTGTGGTATTGGCTATCATCATCTTACCTCGCTACAGAATGACTGTAAAATTTCATTGGCTGAACCTTCTGACATACTGCCGTCAATGTGGATAGCGTACCCAATCGATGAATATTAAATAGAATAAGTTAAGTTGGCAATAAAGGAAGGAAACAGTCTGCGTCTTGAGCAATGACTTTATGGAAAGCCAACTTCCATTCCAATTCACGGTCCAATATTGTCAACTCGTCCACCCACGGCTACCTAAATCAATCCAATGCTAATACTGCCAATGTCTTCTTGGTAGTCTTGATCAATCAATACGTTTGCATCGACAATTAGAGCCTAAATGGAATCTCTTGAGCAGCCAATGGAGAGAGGAAAGAGAAATGGTTGGCGCTGGTCCTTCTGTTCTGTTGAATCTTTGTAGCAGGCTTTTGGGCTGCCACTGTACTGCACATGCGCACTGTCCATGCGTCCTGTAGACGGTGAGTCCCTTCTGGGCTTTCCAGTACGAACCCTGACCGTAACAGTACCGTTCTGAACCGAACCGTGCCGCAACCGGTACGGTACAGAACGCAAAACAAGGAAAATGTCTCCAGGACAGTGCACAGTACTGACGACTGCTACAGTACGTAGTACTGTAGCAGTCTATGACATGGTGTCGGGTACTTACTGGGCGTTCTATAGTACGTACTGTACAGTACGTCCACTGTTGAGGTCTACCTTGAGTGTACAGTGTACAGTCAAGGTAAAAGTGGAGGCATTTCATACTCAACAGTACTGTGGACAGTGGACTGTACTGTACCTTGTATAGCACAATACAGGATTGTATGTTGGCACGTGGACAAGCCATGCGTGCTACGCTCGACATTACTAGTTCAAGATGGGTCGGTCGTGCATGACCATTTGCAATGGCTTTACTGTGTAGTAAAAAAGACGAACAGTCTATGCTTCGGAACTAGTTGATGTACAGCCATCTTAGAACACCGATCTACAGTAGTACAAGATGATAGCGGCACCTTTTACCTTTTATCCTTCAAGATTGCATGGAGACTCATTGTACTGTACAGTGTACAGTACAACGTTTCTACAATGTACAGTATAAAACGTAGACTTACTGTACTGTAGATACTGTAGGTTGCTAATAGTGACATTAGTTTTGCTATCCACATGATTTTCTATTCAGCCCAAGCCATGACATGCCGAGACCAGTGTTGACTATGATGACGAAGAACAAATGCAAAAGGAATGTCACTAGTCAAGAGCGGACGCGGACTTGCTCCCTAGGCCAATACTGTACGTTGCTAATAGTGACATTAGTTTTGCTATCCACATGATTTTCTATTCAGCCCAAGCCATGACATGCCGAGACCAGTGTTGACTATGATGATGAAGAACAAATGCAAAAGGAATGTCACTAGTCAAGAGCGGACGCGGACTTGCTCCCTAGGCCAATACTGTACGTTGCTAATAGTGACATTAGTTTTGCTATCCACATGATTTTCTATTCAGCCCAAGCCATGACATGCCGAGACCAGTGTTGACTATGATGATCAAGAACAAATGCAAAAGGAATGTCACTAGTCAAGAGCGGACGCTGACTTGCTCCCTAGGAGACCCAATAATACTATATCGTCAACATGATTTTCTACTCAGCCCAAGCCATGACATGCCGAGACCAGTGTTGACTATGATAATCAATAACAAATGCAAAAGGAATGTCACTAGTCAAGAGCGGACGCTGACTTGCTCCCTACACCAATAACACTATATCGTCAACATGATTTTCTACTCAGCCCAAGCCATGACATGCCGAGACCAGTGTTGACTACGATAATCAACAACAAATGCAAAAGGAATGTCACTAGTCAAGAGCGGACGCGGACTTGCTCCCTAGACCAATACTGTATCGTCTGTACCGTCTGTCTGTATCCGTCTCTTTTGTCACTTTTGGTCGCCAACCATCTTCTGCAAA